TAAATTAAACTTGCTAGCACAAGTTTAATCTAGGGCTCCGGAGCAAGTTCGTGTGGATACGTTGGAGGCTTCATACGTTTGGCGCTACGTTCATCTCCTCAAAACCATCCCCGACCGTTCCTCCGTTCTCCGTTTTCACCGTTAAGGTAAATTTCTTACTATAGCTAGTAATTTACGTAAGTTGTTCTTGGGTGGAATCAAGTTTTGGACTATAAATTTTTGTTTTCCGCTGCGTTATCCAAGCCTCGTTTCCCAACACTGCCATGGTTTTGCTTGGTCTGCACCAGACCTGGATGGAACTCCCACAGCTTTCCAGGAGTTCTTGGTCATGGCTGGTTTTGGAAGGAGTTGTTTACTGCAGGTTCTACTGGAATTGTTGTTACTGCTGGAACCATGGGCTGTTTAACTTGAGCATCTAGCCGGACTGTTTTGGACTTGCTTGAACTTAATGGTATTTTGGCACATTTTTTTTGATTTGGCGATTTATGGGGATGTTGAGGACTCTTTTTGGTGGATTGATGCTGATTCTGAAATTGTGAATTTGGCTGCGTGTGGGCTGAATTGGAGCTGAATCTATTAGGCATTATGGTCTAATAGGTAAGCTTTTGTATGTTCCCTGATGCCCCTGGTTTTTGCCTCATTTATTGAGGTAATACCAACTGTTTTGGATGGGTTTTCTCACGCGGTTCGGCCTCTTGATGGAGGTAATACCATTTCGATTCGGGTTGAGTTCTTTGTTGTATTTTGCCTCATTGGTCCTGCTGGCAGGCTGCCTAAGCTCTTTCTCACCCTTTCGGTTGGGGCTTTTGGAGGAGCCTGGGTTATATCGGCCAACAAGTGCATCTTGTGGCTGATTTGGCTTTTTCTCGGGTTTGTTTGCGCTGGGAGTTTGTTTTCGTTGGATCTTGCCTATCTACGTCTTGCTTCTGAACTCAAACCGAGGGCAATTGTGGATGAAGGCTTATGGGACAACCTAGTGAACTTGCGCCTAGTCTTTATGGGGACGCTTGCCAAATACCTTGGAGGAACTCTGACCATAGACCTAGGGAGGGGTTTGTATGGCAGATTGTGTGTCTCTCGGGTCACTTTGGAGGTTTAGCTGTCTGCCTTGACGAGGGTGGACAACTTCTGGCACTCGGGGACTGGCCCCTTGGCATGCCGGTGGAAAGCATCAACCTCGTTGATGGATGATGGTGACTATGGTAAGATTAACATCTGACTCACCTCTTTTAGATGCATGACATTGAATGAAGTACATTGAAGTTGGTTTTGAATCTTGATTGAGCGTTTTTCGTACTGGATCCTTGGGGAGGGAGTATATAAGGGTGGTCTGTGCTGATACCCCCGATATATGCTCCCTCCATGCTCTTGCTTTGCCTACCGTACTTTTGCCGGGATGATGCATGGTACTCGTAGCTGGAAGCGGATTCCACAAGAGCTGGGACGTGGTCCACTATGATGAAGTGGGACCACATTGATGTTTTAGTGATGGTTTTGTATTTTGTATGGCCTACGTGCCAAGTTTATGTATGTTGAGTCTTGTATTATCTTTGGCTTTGTTGTTAATGTTTGTTCTCAACGATAAAATGTAAATAGAAGAAAGAATAAGAATGTACAACTAGAACGGGCATACCCGAGCTTGGAAATGGCAGTTTCCAAATCCATAAAGATAACAACATCACCAAATGCCCACAAACCAATTCATAAGACAACAAACAAACCAAGGCAGACACGCCAAAAGCAAAAGCTAAACAATCATCAAAAGGTTACAGAGTACAAGGGCCATAGTCTCCCTAGGATAGAATAAACCATAACCTTGATTTTAGAAGTCACAACCTGAATGGAATGTTTGTTCTCTTTTATATGCATGGAACCATTCTTATGGTTTGGCATTTGACATTGATGTACCTTTTCTGATTTGGGGTAATAATAATTTACATTTTACCCTTGAAAGAACCTGATAACAATCTTGAAAGAGCTCTCAATGAGACTTTGGCCGAGACTTCTCTCTGGCGACGTCGTGCTACAGTAGCCCGTCACCATTGCCATCGTTTCTTGAGCTTCATCTCTTGGTGCCTCACCTTTTTGAGTATAGATTCTTGTTCCCCTCTCCTGGGCGACCTTTTCTACCGGCGGAATTGCTCAGCCATGCCCTTGTTCGTGTAGGGTGTGCATTGACTTCTACGGCTCACTGTTCACTGTTTTCCCCGATGCTTCCTGCGTAGCTTCTCTGACTTGCTTCTGCTCCCATGGGTTCTGGCAAAGCCCAGAGTGCTAAGAAGACTAAGAAGAAGCTCCCTAGGAGCCCAAAGAAGAAAAGGACTGGAGATGATGTTATGGAGACTCCTAGTCTAAATACGGATATTGCCATGGAGCTACCTGAGAAGGAGAAGGCTCCAACTGCGTCTTCAACGTCTGAGAAATCCCCCCCACATGCTGAAGACGTCCCTGATACAGGTGCTCAGGTGGGGATAACCTCTGCGCAAGAGACCCCCCAGGTGTTTGACAAAATGCCTACACCAGATATGGTTGCTGCCAAACCTGTTACGTTTGCTGACCTCTTCAAGGGTAATAGGGATCCTGACCAAGGTATGATTCTGAAACAATATGATGTTGGTGAAGGTGTTCTTTATATCCCGGATTCTATTATCAAACCTATTGAAGAGCTGTGGGGTTTTTGTCTTGTGGGCTGCTTTACTGGACGCTTCCCTGGCCTCAAGGCAGTGGATGCTATTGTCAAAAGCTGGAATGTACCTTGTAGATACATTCCCCATTGTAAGGGTTGGGTTATTCTGAAGTTTGAGAATGATATTGATAGAATGGATGTGCTGGGTAGGGAAAGGGATAAAGCTTATGGGAAGGAGCTTAGACTCAAAATCCCTTCTCATGGTTTCATGTTTGATTTTGCTGAATTCACCACTCTACCTGTCTGGGTTCAGCTACATAATGTACCATTGCAGCTTTGGTCTAAAGAAGGAATTGGAATGCTGGCCTCAAAAGTGGGGAAGCCTCTGAGAACTGAACTGGTTACAAAGCAGCAAGGCAAGGGTGGTTTTTGTAGAGTGCTTGTTGAGGTTGACTTCTCAAAACAGCCTGTGACCCACTTTGAGGTAGCTTGTATGGGTAAGACTTACACACAACTTGTGGTGTTCGAGGAAGACCCTAAATACTGCTTTCATTGCAAAACCTGGAATCATTGCCCCTTCTACTGCAAAGAACTGGGTAAGAA